AAGCTTGAGACTTTTTTTTTTTTTTTTAAGATTTATTTATTGGGCACCTGGGTGGCTCAGTTGGTTAAGCAACTGCCTTCGGCTTGGGTCATGGTCATGGGGTCCTGGGATCGAATCCCACATCAGGCTCCCTGCTCAGCGGGGAGTCTGCTTCTCCCTCTGACCTCTCCCCTCTCATGCTCTCTCTCTCTCTCATTCTCTCTCTCAAATAAATAAAATCTTTTAAAAAAAAAAAAGATTTATTTATTTTAGAGAGAGCAAGAGCGTGGGGGAGGGGCAAAGGGAGAGTCTTAAGCAGACTCCACGCTGAGCACGGAGCCCCACGCGGGGTTCGATCTCATAACCCTGAGATCACGACCTGAGCGAAAACCAAGAGTCAGACACTTAACCAACTGCAGCACCCAGGCACCCCTTGAGACTTTTTTAAAAAGCAAAAGTGAGGGGTGCCTGGATGGCTCGGTCATTAAGCATCTGCCTTCAGCTCAGGTCATGATCCCAGGGTCCTGGGAACCAGCCCCACGTCGGGCTCCCTGCTGAGTAGGGAGTCTGCTTCTCCCTCTCCCTCTGCATCTCCCCGTGCTTGTGCTCACTCTCTCTCTCTCTCTCACTCTGTCAAATAAATAAAATCTTTGAAAAAAAATTAAAAAAATAAATAAAAGCAAAAGTGAGCTAGGATATGGTAGGTTCCTGAACCTTTTACCTCCAAGCCTTCTGATAACAGAAGAGTAACAACACATTGGTGATACCTGTTTTCAGCAAGTTTTAAGAAGGGAAATGATGCTTCCATAGCATAAATTCAATTTGGGAAATTGCTTTCCTTAGAATATGATTGAAGAAAGGTGGAATTTTTAAAGGAAGAGAAGAATTGAAAGATTGTTAATAACTTCTCAAGTTGTGGTCTTAATAAAAACCATGTGCTTTGAAGCAAGAAAGAGACTTCTAGAACCCCTGTGGCATCCTTGCATGTGGTTAGTGGGAGGGAGAATACCCCCAGTGCTGTGCTGCTCACATGATAACACATGGGGTTTGAGCAGTGTTGGGAATCCTTGATATACCTTAGCCAACTTTTAAAACAGTATTTAGGGGCGCCTGGGTGGCTCAGTTGGTTAAGCGACTGCCTTCGGCTCAGGTCATGATCCTGGAGCCCCTGGATCGAGTCCCGCATTGGGCTCCCTGCTCGGCGAGGAGCCTGCTTCTCCCTCTAACCCTCCCCCCTCTCATGTACTCTCTCTCTCTCTCATTAAAAAAAAAACAAAAAAACAAAAAACAGTATTTAAAAGTCAGTTTTTTATCTAACTTCAGTACAGTCTCGTGCCTGCATTGGTATTAGATGTAGTCAACAGATGGGGTTTTTTCCCCCAAAGTTTTATATATTTATTAGAGAGAGAGAGCATGCACGCACATGAGCAGGGGGAGGGGCAGAGGGGAAGCAGACTCCCTGCTGGGCTCTCTCTGGGAGATCATGACCTGTGCCAAAACCAAAAATTGGACACTTAACCGACTGAGCCACCCAGGCACCCCAGTAGATGGTTCTTTAATGTATTGTCTGGAGAATGACTGAGCCTAGCAAGCAACAGGTTCCATTGAGAAGCTAAGTTGTAGCTTAATTGCAGATAGTGAAGGTAACATTTCACACTGTGATGTACAAATAGTGAGTGTTGAATATAATTTCTCATTTTGATAACTGACATAATACCAGATTTCATCAATTCCCCAGCCACAAAACTTTTCCACATTTTAAAATCTCTGAAATCAGGGTGTATCTTAAATCCAGTGTCATAATTTAGTTGACATTTTCCCTTTCCTAGTGGTACATAAATAACCTGTCTCATAATAGATGATGTATTAGATTCAGTGGAATACAGTCAAATAGAGACCAACAGAGTCTGAATTGGGAAACTCTAGACTAGATGATTCCAAACTGTATTTTATGGCTCCCTGGTCATTTCCTGGGGGGAAGATTTCTTTCACAAACTGGAATGTGGGTAGGATTTCAAGTATAGAAAGTGCTGTGCTGTTCTTTCAAAAAGAAGTTTAAAAAGCCCAAACAGGCCCTTCATTTTCACGTCATGATGTATCATACACGAGCACCTTCTTGCACAGTATTCCGACGGTAGAGCGATATAGATGCCCTTTTGGACACTCGGCCGCTCTCCTCGCTGACACAGCCATAACCTCTGACAGCGGTGCACCTGCTGTCCTTCCAGCTCCCTCTCACACGTTCCTGTGCACTTGTAGACAGCTTCAGCTCATCGTGGTCCATTTATTCCATAAATGACACCATCTTATAAGATTCTACAACTTAGCATTACAGTTTGATTGTTTTGAACTTAGTTTGGAGCCTTTTCTGGGTGTTGGTACGTGTAGGTGTCTGCCATCTTTTAGTGGCTCTGTAGGTTTCATTGTGTAAATGGCCCAAGAATCCTTCCCACTTTGTCCATGAAGAATGAGGCTCCAGAGAGGTTAGATGTCATTACCGAAGGTCACACAGTTGGGTTGCATTTAGAACCTGGGTCTTCTGGTCCCCAGTTGGTGTTTCTTTCTAGTAGTACTGGACTTCGGTGTACAGATTCTGTAGCCAGCTATTATGAATTAATCACTTTGGTTCCATTTTGCTTATATAAAATCAAACATTATACTTGGAAATAAACTCTCATCCTTTTGTAGTATTTGCATATATTTTTTTTACCCCATACCTATTTTGCTAACAATGCTAGTTACAATCTTTTCTGTAGAATGTGCCCTTCTTGGGAAAAGAGTTTTATTTGTACCTGGATATTCTTTGTACAAAAGTAGTTGCTTAACAAAGCTTGTGATTCCCTGCTGCTACCCTCCAGCCACTTCCTACCTGACCTGGAATGTTCTCTTAATGTTACCCTCTATTCTGAGAAAACTCTTCTCATTTCTGTGCTCCCTGCTGATTCTTTACTTATCGCATCTCCACACTCCTGGGTGAGCCCCTTGCTGCCCTCTCTGGCCCTGCCCTCCCATCTTCCCTGCCTTTCTGGTCTCTGATTCCCTGCTTCTGTCGTTTCTGTCGTGGTGCCATCAGGCCCTGGTACAGAGAGACCCAAGTGTCCAAGGGGTTTGGAATTACTCCCACACAACATACTGGCAGCTGCTTTCCCAGCCCTCAAGCAGCTCCTGGGTTTGAAATTCCAGTGAATGTTTGCTGGTTCCTCGGCTCAGGAATGTGCGTGTACACATCCTGTTGTTGGGATAATTGACTTTATGTGTGGTGTGACGGAGACTTGGCCAAGGGCAAATGAAGGAGAGCTAACTTTGAAAACAAGAGCATTAGGCAAAATTAATTTAAATGGAAATTTAAAGCCTGAAAACCAACTACTTTTTAAATGGATCTTTTTAAAAGTTAGGTTTTAGTACTGGAACATATTTCTCAAGGCTGTTTACGTATATGTAGCTGAAACAACTATGTCCTTGCAGAAATGTTTGAGTGTTGTGTTCCCCTTTTTATCCTCCTAGTCATTCCCCTCAATTAGGCTACTGGAGTTAATAGACTTAGTGCTCTGTTTTTTAAAAAGACTTTGGGATCCTCAACTTTCATATGGTTAGTTCTGTTCCAAAAGCATGGCTGTGTGTTACTGGGAACACTCAGAATTAGTCCAGAAGGAGAGAATGAGCTGCTGGGGGGTTTGTTCATACAAGGAATATGTATTTATTGTAGAAAAATGAGATGAGAATTTCCAGCCAGCACAAAGTAAAATAGTTTATGTTATGTGTCTGTGGTGTCTAGATCTATCCAATAGGGTTTATTCCTATGTTCATTATAGTTGTTTATGTTTTATTTAAAAGGTGGTAATAGTTAGTGTTTTGGGGCCAAGCATTGGCCCCTGTGCTGAGTTCTTTCTACTTATTCCTCACAACAATGCTGTGAGGTAAGTACTGTTTTTCTCCTTGCTTAATCTTGATCACAAACCGGAGGTGGATGCCGTTACTGCTCCTGTTTTACAGCTAAAGAAACCAAGGCTCCAAAGAAGCAGTGAATGCAATCAAGATCACATGGTAGTGAGTAGTGGAGCCAGGATTTCTAACCACCCCTCTCTTGGTCTTTGGTGGCTGTCCTTGGAAAGTTGCCCTGGGCTCCCCCGACAGACATTGCGGAGCCAGACTGCACTCAAACCATGGCTCCACTGCCTCCTATTGGAGTGACCTTGGGCAAGCTGCTTTCTTTGTGCTTTGGTGTCTTCATCTATAAAATTGACATAATAAAAGTACATTCTAGGGTTGTGGGAATTAAGACAGTGCTTGGCATATAGTAGTACTCAGTAAGCGTAAGTGTTGTTATGACCTGGTGGTTTTCACTAATTCTGTATTTCAGATAGGAATGCTTTCAGCTGTGAGTAACAGAAGACCAGTTTCAGGGGCTTAAATAAGGATTTATTTTGTTCTCACCTAACAGGAAGTCTGTGGGTGTGGAGAGAGTGTGGGCCTTCATTCAGTTGTTCGGCGCCGCCATCAGAGGCCCAGCGCCTCTCTGTACACCACTGTCCTCAGCACATCACTTGCTTTAGCTCACAGGATGGCTGCTGCAGCTCTGTGCATCCCGTTTACACTGGGGGGCGCCCAGGAGGATTGGAAGGCCATGCCAGGCTCTGCATTTTCCCTTCATCAGGAAGAGCAGAAGCTGTCCCCAGAATGTACTCCAGACTTGTGCTTCATCTCATAGGCTAGAACTAGGGTTCACCACCACTCCCACCTGCAGTAGAAGCTGGGGAAGCGTATATTCGGTAGTGCGTAGAGGTAAATTTTCAGAAAGTTGGCAGTCTAGCTGATGCTCCTTGGGATAGCTTGACATCTGCCATGGTGGGAGTCTTCACATCACAGAAACCAGCAGACACTACACATCAGGCCCCTTCTCCAAGCCAGTTGTTAAACATTGACCAACACACTGTTAGGTGTCTTTAACTGCCTCTGCTGGACTAAAAGGTGGCAGGGGGTGGAGGTGAGAGGTAGGAATTTGAAATGATCATTGGGTCGGCCAACCAGCAGCATCTGCCAAGGTCAGTAAACTTTCAAACTTTTAATAGCAGTGACTGCAGAAAATTAGAGCTGAGGAGGAGCTTCTGAGGTTGTCTAGGACATCCCCTTCGTTCGACTGAGGGGAACCCGAGGCTCCAAGAGAATGTGCTCCGCCCCAGACCCCAAAGTCAGGGAGTGAAGTGGCCCTCCCGGAACCCAGGTGTCCTGACAGCTCAGCCTTCACTCCCCAGAACTTTACCTTTCAGCCTCCTGCCCGCTCTCCTCGCCAACCTACTCCCAGCACTTGCCCACACAAATACTCCTTTTGCCAGCTTTGCTAGTGCCAGCAAGTTTTGCTGCTGTCTTCTGTCGGTTTCCCAGAAAACCTGCTTGCTTTAAACTCCTTTTTTTTGTTTTGTTTTGTTTTAGTCGATACAGCATTACATTTTTTTCAGTGGGAGAAACTTAAAAGAATTTGCTATAGCACAGTATAAACTAATGTAGAAATTTAAGAATATACCTAATAAGATATGCCTAATTTTGAACCATACTTGTTTACAGTAGAGAATGAAGCTTAACTAAAGATTTAACTTTAGTCTTTCTTTTAAAAAAGCCTAATAAACTTTTCCATCTGTTTGTGTCTGACTCTCCCCATAGATGGGAAGCTCTTTGGGGACAGGCTCTGTGGGCTGCCCTGTTGTCATCCCCGTGGGGGTGGACTTGCACACAGCTATGCATGCGGTGGGCGCTTAGCAAACATTTGCTGATTGAATCAATGACTGCCCAACTTAGACTAGCTTTGTATCTTCAGATGTAGAAAGTTAATCAGCAGCTGTTCTCTTAGGGTGGGCTTTGGATTCAAAATGTCTGAATTGTAACCCTTTACACTCCAGTCCCTCAGCTGTCTGATATGATTGATGGAAACAGGAAGCCCACAGATAACAACAGCTTCACTGGTGTGAACACATGGAGGGAAGGGATGGTGTGGAAATGGAGCTTGAGATTGATCCGATTGTTGGAAAGATGTGCATTTCCAGGAATAGTCATTGAGATATCCTTACAGCTTATCTAGCCTCCCGTTATTTTTGAGTTGGGTGTCATGCCTGCTCCCTTCTTGTGTATTCATGGGAAGAGAGTTTTGTCCTATTGAAACCCCCTAAATTCTTCATTTTGAAGAAGTCTTAGTATGAAAGAGACTTCACAGCTTTGTTAAAGACAAGTGTATGTTTGTAGGATTTTTTTTTTTCTTTACATGACTAAATGCTATTCTTAATCACAATGCTGCATGTTTATTTACCTACAGCCAAGTTACATCAGTGATGTGGGACCCCCTGGTCGAAGTTCTCTGGATAGCATTGAGATGGCGTACGCCCGGCAGGTGAGCATGCTCTCAGAGAAGATCGGACCCAGGACAATTCTATGTGAGCGCTCTGGGGAGTAAAAGAGAACCAAGACTTCATGTGAAAGTCAGACCCTGAAAACAAGTTGGGTTTTTGTTCAGAGGACTGGTTAATGTTTTACCACCTAGGTCACTGGAGAATTCCATCAAATTGGGTAATAGAATGACTCACATTTGACTTAGGAAAATGGAAATCTGCCCTCTACATTGACCAGCGCATCTCATTTTGCATTTGGCAATAGCCCAGGTATAGTAAAGCCTCGAGTAATTGCACTGCTTAGCAAGTGGAGTTCTCTATTAACTGAATTACCTTGTAGGCTAATGGTATTATCAGAAATCTTTCTTCACCCCTTGTTGTTGATAGAAATTTTCTAAATGCTTTTCTGCCTTGGTAAGCATGGTGTATCATGGTTATGCAGTAGCGTGGAGATGGATTGAGATGCTCTGTGGTGAGCACAGAGGCTATTGGACTAAAACTACCTTGAGGGGACAGTACAAACCTGGAATTGACCTTTTGAATAAAACGGTGTTGGCTGCCTGTGTGTTTCATTATAATTTGCTCTTTTTCCGCACAAAATAGTATCAAGATAGAAGGGAAAACAGATTTAGATTTCTCTCTTTCTCTCTGCTACATCTCCATCTTTTATTTATTTTTATTTTTATTTTTCTTAGAAGATTTTATTTATTTATTTATTCATGAGAGAGAGAGAGAGGCAGAGGCAGAGGGAGAGGGAGAAGCAGGCTCCCTCCAAAGCAGGGAGCCTGATGCAGGACTTGATCCCAGGAGCCTGGGATCATGACCTGAGGCGAAGGCAGATGCTTAACCGACTGAGCCACCCAGGCATCCCATCCATCCTTTAAATTTCACCTTCGTTATATGGCTGACTCCTCCCATTGCCACAGCCACCACCAGAATTTAGGCCTAATGAAATGATAAGCTTGTGAGTAGAGAAACTATGTGTCTTCTGTATCTGTGAAATTAAGACTCCATGAAACATTTTCTAGTTTCAGGACACCATGTCATATATCTGTTTACAGGGTTGTCCCCTCTAGTGGAGAATCTTTGTGTTGAACAAATTACCTTGCAAAGGGAAGGCTCCTGATAAATGCACATCGAATGAACAAACACCACCTTGTAGTTTTTTGTTTTTTTTTTTTTAAGATTTTATTTATTTATTTGACAGAGAGACAGCGAGAGAGGGAACACAAGCAGGGGGAGTGGGAGAGGGAGAAGCAGGCTTCTCGCAGAGCAGGGAGCCCGATGCGGGGCTCGATCCCAGGACTCTGGAATCATAACCTGAGCTGAAGGCAGACGCTTAACTGACTGAGCCACCCAGGCGCCCCACCACCTTGTAGTTTAAAAAACATTTTATTTCATCTTTGTAATGCCTCTGGAGGCTACGTGATACTATCCCCCAGATAAAGTAGAGGGAAATAAGGTTCAGTGGGGTCCTGATTCATCTAACCTCACTACTTTGTTCAGTCCTTGGTAGGACAAGGACTTCAGATGCAAAAAGTATAGAACCCACGGGTTTTTACCATCATTATTTTAGTTCTTTTACAATAAAAATCAAAGTAATAGTGGTTTTTCCATACCTTAGATATCATATAGTTCCTTTTTCTCAAGAAGATTTTCCTAAGGGGCAGGGATTCTTTGCTGGAGAAATGGGTTCTCCAGACATGCAGCAACTGCTCTTAAAACCCCGTGGAGGGTTGCAGCCTGACACCCCTTACTCCGGCCACCAGTCCCTGGCTTGGGGCCATTCAGTCCTTTTGCCAGAAGGATTAGCAGACTCTGCCGCAGGTTCTTAGGAAGCAGCAGTGGAAGTCTTCCCATCGTCGCATCTTCCCCTTTGGTCCTCGCTTGCTGGGACGGAGGGTCTGCTGGGCAGAGAGGCGCAGCAGTGCCTGTGGTCCTCCTCTACCAGGACAACCCTCCTTCCACTCTTCAGCTGTTAGGAAGGCTGGGGCAGCGGTTCTCTTTGGTGTGTTAATGCTGCTGCCCGAATTTCAAAGGCACATCGGGGAAGCTGGCCACAGGCCTTGCCCTCCAGGCAGGATGGACGACTCAGCCACATTGAGGAAGGAAAGGTTGGCTGAAGCTTCTGCTGAGCGTTGGGCAGAAGCTGGCTTCAGAACTGCCTCAAGAGGTTTTAAAAAGAGGAGAAAATAGAAATTGTGCCATTTATTTTGCTTTTCATTTCAGATTTATATCTATAACGAGAAGATTGTAAATGGGCACCTGCAGCCTAACCTCGTGGAACTCTGTGCTTCGGTGGCAGAGCTGGATGATAAGGTAGCGCCCGGAGCTAACCCAAGGAGAAACGTGGCATCCGGTGTTCAGATGGGATTAGCAGCTTGCTGACAGGGCAGAAATGTGCTCAAGAGACACCCTGCTCCATGGAATAAAATGTTAACTGTCCTTCAGAGTTTTATTTTAAATAACTTTGGGGTGGTTTTTGATGATGATGCCATGTACATGTATTTTTAATGCATCTTTAGAAGGCCCAGCCAGGATCAGTTAATGGTCACAGGAAGTCTTTGAGCTGTATTGCTTTGAAGTCTTGTCAAGACTCAACTCTTCCCTCACCGGTTTTCCTCCCTAGACAGACTAACTTAGGACTCTATTATAAGAGCTGAATTGTAAAGGTGATACGGTTTTCACATCAGGGAGCCCCTTGAACATTACTCAGATGTGGTCTTTAGGTGCATTCTTTGTATGCTGCTGGTTCCCTTCCTCTCTAACTCCCCATCTTTATTCCTGATTCCTGTCCCTCACTTCTTACTCGTGGCCAATTTTCTCCATCTAGGGGGAAGAAAGTGGATGGGTGGATTGGTGGGTGACCAGGAGGAATAGGAAAAGGAGGGAACGATATAATGGAAGCAAATACTCATACATAGATGATGATGATGATGATCCTTAAAGATGCATCTGATTTTTTTTTTTTTTAATAGTAAAATATAAGGCAGTGCAAGCGAATCTAAAGAATAAAGTTAAGAACCCACCTACCATCTCACCACCTAGAAAGAGTCACATTTGGGTGGATTTTCTACAGTTTTATTTTCTGAGGGAGACAGAACAGGATTTTCTCTCTTCCTTTGGAAAAAGTGTAAACCTGCTCTTCTCCAATCAGTGCTGTCTTCCAAGGATTCTTAACTTTAGAATATTGCAAAGCGTTCAGGGAATCCATTTTTAAGGGGAGATTTACAGCCAGGAGGATTCTGGGGAGAGGGAGTCCCATCTGTGTGGTGGTAACACGAAGGAGAGAATGCCGTTCCTTTCCTGGGAGGCTGGCATGGAGGCGTCTCAAAGGGAGTGAGTGGGAAAGAAAATGGGAGGCTGTGACACTCACAAAGCGGGGTGAGAGCAATGGCCCCTGGAGAGTCTCAGGGAGACAAAACCTATATTATTTAGGTTAAACTCTTTATTTTAAGCCTTAAGAAACTCAAATGGCCTTGTAAGGACTGAAATGCGGCTACTTGATTTTAAACTCCTAGAGCTTTGGACAGTTATAAATGTATTCACTCTCTTGTAAGGGATAACCCACTGAGATTCAGTGTTCCTTTTACTGTTGTGTGGTCTTCATTATGTGGGTGGTAATGTCAGACCTGGAATAGTAATCGATCTGAAAGCCAGCTCAGGACAGGAGGGCGCCCGTCGGCAGCGGCAGGGCAGAGGTGCATCTTCTGTACTGAGCTGAAGCCTGAGGGCCTCAGACGGAAGACATTAACCCCTTCCCGCTCCTTACCTTCTGTGCCTTTGAGGTCAGAGCCGAGAAGAGCCAGACCGTTTCTCCAGCGCTGCAGCATTGTCACGTGCAGTGTCATTTATGTGCAGAACATCTCGGACATGTGGACCATGGTAAAACAAATGACGGATGTGTTGTTGGTGCCCGCGAGTGATGCCCTGAAGAGCCGCAGCAGCGTGGAAGTGCGCATGGAGTTTGTCAGGCAGGCCTTGGCGTACCTGGAGCAGAGGTAAGGCAGCCCTGGCACGGTGCGGCTGGCTTCACAGTCCCCGCGAGTCAGCCCGTTCTCATGTGTTCTGTAGTCCTCGGGCGAAGTGCTCCGTAGCACAGGGTTGAGCAAGGCTGACAGGTCAAATCCTGCTTTCAGAAATGCTTCTTTACCAGGACTGTGTCTGCAACAGGATAAAATCATGGCAAGTAGGAGCGCTGTTAGACTTTTCATTTTTTCTTTCTCTGCTCCCTGGCCCTCAGTATGGAGACATCAGGATTATTAGGCCATAGCCTTGGGCCAGGATCCTGTTCCCTAATGAGGTTCAGCCATTACTCCTTAGGCTCTTTTGTTTTCTCTGAGCATTTTAATTTTTACACCTGGCAAGTGTGTAATTTTACCACCTTCAAGCCTTAGCAAAAGTCCTTGAACCTGTATTTTCCTTCTGGCTCTATTCTGTTAATCCCTTCTGCATCTGGATCCTTCCCAGCTGCTAACGCCTGTGATTTGTGCTGGGTTGCTTTGCCATCTCCTCACTAACTGGGGTTGGTCACCAAGGGGGTTGTGGCTGGGCCCTTATGCCCTAACTATTATCCCCTTCGTTGGTAGGGCTTGTGCCATTCATCCCTCCCTGCGGACACTCCTTCCAGCTCTGAATTTGCCAGCAGGGGTTGTCATGAGTGTGCAACAGACCCTCTTTATTTCAGAGGCAGGCTGCTGGGCCCCTCTCTGCTACTTGGAAAAGAGAAAGCCGAGTTGAATACACTTGCTAAATTGCAGCTCTTTCCAGTGAGCCTGTGCGGCTGCCAGTGCCCTTGTGTGACTGCCCTTTAGCAACAAATAATACTTGGTTAGGAAGTCGTAGATTTCCTTGTTTATTAACTGAGGTAATTCGGACTTGGTACAGCAGAGAGTAGGTTTTTATACTGTAATAATTATACACAATTGCGACATGAGATGAACACCATCAGACTAGCCTCCATTCCCTTAAGAAAAATCCACAACTCCCCCAATTTTTTTTTTTAATTCTTCTTTGCGTTGGCACAAAAGAGTTTATAAAGTATTTTCTCAGGCTTTTGCTAAATTTTTATAATGTAAGTTTTGGATATATTGATCTGCAGCCATAAAGATCCTAATGTATATTGTAGTATTGCTACATGCAGCAAGAGAGTCCAAATTTCTTAGAATATATAAAAACCTTTAGGGTTTTTTTTTTAATGGGTATATGACTGTCCATGTCTGCTTTTTCTTTAGTAAACCTACTCCTTAACATTGGTGCTTGACCACACCATCAAGCATTCCTTGGTTTTATATCTTGTAAGCCATCCCATTTCATTTTTATTCTTTCCACTTTGCTTATTTAATTTTATTTATTTGTCTTTTAAAATTGTATTTTTCCCTTAATTCCTTTTTTTAATTTTTTTTTTTTTTTTATTCATTTGAGACACAGAGAGAGCATGAGCAGGGGAAGAGGCTGAGGGAGAGGGAGAAGCAGGCTCCCCACTGAGTCAGGAGCCCAATATGGGGCTCCATCCCAGGACCCTGGGATCATGACCTGAGCCGAAGGCAGACGCCTAACCATCTGAGCCACCCAGTTGCCCCTTCCCTTAATTCCTTTGGCAGCACTTGGAGCTACTTGGGAGTTTCCTGTCCACAATTATTATAACCTTATTGTCCTTTCATTCTAATGGCGTCACTCCCTGGTGGCATACTTTTTAAGAATTCATTGTCCTCTTTTGATAAAGGGACTATTTCAGGATAATTATACTTTTGTTTGTTATTTGAGAGAGAGAGAGAACGTTTGGGGGGTTGGTGCAGACGGGGAGAGAGAGAGAGTCCCAAGCAGGCCCCACACTCAGTGTGGAGCCTGACGCAGGGCTTGATCCATGAGATCATGACCTGAGCTGAAATCAAGAGTTAGACACTTAACCGCCCCAGTTATACTCGCTTTTGAAGTATTTTTGCCAATGCACATCTACTGACAGCATGGCAAAGTAGATCCAGTCCCAAATGATTTTTGCGTATAAGGCTGAAAATATTGAGAAAATACAGGTTTGGTTGATCTGTTCCCTGCTACATACCAGATTCAAAACAGTATATATTTTTCTTAAGCCCTGAAGGAATTCAGGCTGCTTCTTCAACTTAGGCCTTTATCAGCACATGGGTTGTCTTAATTCAAGTCAGAAGAGACTGTAGTGGGCATCTGTTTGTCCCGGCTGCTACGGGACTCGGTCCTCTAATCTCTTTTCCAACCTCTGCTTTTAAATACTTTCAGTGATGGGGGAACTCACTACATTTGTTAAATTGAATTTTGTTTATTTTTCATTATAAAAATGCTACATGCTTATTGTAGAAATTTGGGGAAATGCCAAAAGACCTGACAAAAAGGGGAGAGGTCCCCTATACCACATCCAGAGGCTCCTGTATCTTTTCACTTTTCCTTTTCCCCCGTTTTTGATATATGAATATTTTGTTTGATTTTGTTTTTTACAGTTACGATCCAAATGTGTACAATACGTGGTTTTATGTAGTTTGCTTTTTTAACTCTTGGTCAGTATCATTTTTTGTAACTATCAAATTCCATTGAGTCTATTTGTGTATGTGTGTGTAATTGACATTTAGATGTTTCTCTCTCTCTGTCTCTCTCACACTCTCTCATTCTGTTGTTTTACTTAATCTGGTGTTGAGTATCTCTGTGCATATGGAGCACCTGACTTTTTTGAGTCAGTCTGTTTTGCTTTGGACAAGAACCATATTTAGAAAGTTTTTTGTTTTTTGTTTTTAAGTTTTATTTATTTATCTGACAGAGAGAGAGAGCACAAGCAGGGGGAGCGGCAGGCGGAGGGAGAAGCAGGCTCCCTGCCGAGCAGGGAGCCAGTGCGGGGCTCAATGCCAGGACCCTGGGACCATGACCTGAGCTGAAGGCAGACGCTTAACCGACTGAGCCACCCAGGCGCCCCGAAAGTTCTTTATTATATTAACCCCATGTTTGGATATCTGTAACTAGAACCATTTCATCTTAGTATGGAAGCACTTTAAAAACACTACAGATTTTAAGGATTTGCAGGGTTTAAAGAAGCATGCTAGCAAGTTAAGTAAAGAGGGAATGATAGAAAATCATTGGCAGCCATCAGTGTGATAATTGGTTCAGCAAGGGCAGCAATGGAAACTGCAAGTACTGGGTAGAAGATTGTTGGTAAACAGAATATCCACATGACTTTCAAGTATTACCTCACAGGGTACTTACCAGTGTCAAAGGGAAAGGTACTTTTATAGTGGTGAAATCTGGTGAACGTTACTTTTAACCAAGTGATCAGACCAAATATTACCTGCCCCGTGGTGGGGCTCCATGGGCAGTACCAGCATCCGCTGTGTGGGGATTCTTGGCCAAAAAGTTGAATCTGAATCAAATCATGAGGAAACTGTCCAGCTTGTGGGCCATGCTACCAGACAGCTGGCCTGGATTCTTTTTAAAAGGTCAGTGTCGTGAAAAATGGTGGTAGAGTTGCCCTAGATTAAAGGAACTGGAAGTGGCAGGACAACTAAGTGCCATGCATTTCCTCGCTTGGATCCTGGACGTGGGGGGAGACACACACACTATAAAGGACGTTACTGGGAAATTTGAGTGTGGGTTATATTTTAGATAATAACAGTGTACTACTCTTCAGTTTCTTGGTGTCATAATGGTGTTGAGGTTGGGTAGGAGAATGTCCTAGTTCTTTGGAGATACATAGTGCAGTGTTTAAAGATGAAGTAGCCCCTGATTTCTGTATTTTTGCAGAAGGGTGTTTTGTTTTGTTTTGTTTTTACAGATTTCAAATGGTTCAGAAAAAAAGTGGGTGTATATGTATGTGTGTGTGTATGTGTATATATATGTACATATCTACTTAGAGATAAAACATGTACAGAAATGTTCACACTTGGGGCGCCTGGGTGGCTCAGTTGGTTAAGCAACTGCCTTTGGCTCAGGTCATGATCCTGGAGTCCCTGGATCGAGTCCTGCATCGGGCTCCTTGCTTGGCAGGGAGTCTGCTTCTCCCTCTGACCCTCCCCCCTCTCATGTGCTCTCTCTCTCATTCTCTCTCTCTCTAATAAATAAATAAAATCTTTAAAAAAAAAAAAAAGAAATGTTCACACTGATGAATCTAGGTAAAGGGTATATGAGCGTTCATTGGGCTATTCTCTTCATTTTTTGTAGGTTTGAAATTTTTCAAAATAAAAAATTTAAAAAGAATCCACCAAAGCATTCAGCTGTGAGCTGAAGCAGTCTGCACATTAGGCCTTAATTCAGTAGAAGTCCACAGTTATGTTCCTCTAGGGATTCTTCTGAGTATTCATGGCGATGAGAAATCTTTATGATGGTCTGCTCCCCACTGGGTAAATAATGTAGTTTGCTTCATTAAGCATGCATGGTTTCCTCTTCTGTGTGAGGTTGGAAGTCCAGGCCCTGCCCTGTGGAGTTCACAGTCTAATGGCATGGATGTGGACATAGATATGTATATGTGTTTTCAACCTCTCTCGGTTTTTTCTCTTTTCAATTTTTCCAGTTATAAGAATTACACCCTTGTGACTGTCTTTGGAAACTTGCATCAGGCCCAGCTAGGCGGGGTGCCTGGGACTTATCAGCTGGTTCGAAGTTTCTTGAACATCAAACTTCCGGCTCCCTTGCCTGGACTTCAGGTACCGGCATTTTTCTCTGTGTGGTGAGTTACACGCCTGTAAGCAGTCTCTCTCAGATAGGCATTTGCAGTTAAAATGAGGTTATGTCTGCAAACTGCTGTATGGAAAAGAGACCCCAGAGCGTGGGGCTAGAAGGGAGGCTGGGGGGACCTTGGGAGGCTAGTATTGAGCTGGTGGTGGCTGCTCAGCTGAGTGGGGGAAGACACAGGGGGAGGATGTCATTGGATTCTTGACGTATTTTGAAAGTAGGCCCCGTAGGACTTGTTGAAGACTTGGATGTGGGTGTGACAGGCAGAGTCAGGGATGACTCTTGAGATTGTTGGCTCAAACATCTGAAAGATTGGAGTTCAGTATAGTTCCTAGAATGTGACTGTTTTCAGCTCATAGTCCAGTTGGGGGAATTATCTTACAGTTTTTTATACCGTGTGCACAGCACTAAACTGGAGCTTTATGCCAAGGGTGGTGGGATACAGAGGAGGCTGTCTTCATAAAGGAGGTGAGGTTCGCACTGCCCTCAAAGAATAGGGGCTCATCTGCTAGAGGTCTTGGAAAAGGATGTTTCAGGTGGAGGGAACAGCATGAACACATACATGGAGGAAGGAAAGAGTATCTAGCATATCAGGCATGTGGCAGGGCTTGGCAAACATAGGGCCAGCAGGTGAAGATCTGGAGTACCAGGCTAAGCACTGTGGATGTAAAGAGCTCAAAGGGGTTTAAGTGGAGAATTGACACAATCGGATCTGGTTTGTTTTTTTTGTTTTTTTTGTTTTTTTTTAAAGATTTTATTTATTTATCTGAGAGAATGGGGGACAGAGAGCATGAGAGGGGAAGGGTCAGAGGGGGAAGCAGACCCCCCGCCGAGCAGGGAGCCCGATGTGGGACTCGATCCCGGGACTCCAGAATCATGACCTGAGCCGAAGGCAGTTGCTTAACCAACTGAGCCACCCAGGCGCCCTCGGATCTGGTTTTAGAAAAAGTCCTGTGAGGGGAAGGGTTGAGGGACCAAGAAAGGAAGTCTGAGACCCACCTCCTTGGAGGAGTTGGGGAGAAGTGGAGAGAAAAGTAATCACAGGCTGCCGTGCAGACGATGACAAAACCATTTTGAGGATAGATAAGCTCGAGTACAGGGAGACTGGGAATGGGGCTGCCTTCTCAGCTCCTCGGTGCCTAGCACTGTGTCCAAAACCAAGATAGTCAGTGGATGGACAACTGACGAATGAATGAGAGTGCCAGTATCCATTTGACTGGTCATTAATAGTGAACATTTTATAAACTCAAGTGCAATAATGATGGTCTCTTACTGCTCAGTAAACGTCTTCAGCCCTTGCTTTGCGAGGGTTGCAAGAATGAGTGTCTGTGAGTTGTCCCAGAACATGTCACCCAGATACTGGCTACTGGGATTCTACAGTGAACCCACATGCTGGCCATCAGTCAGTCACCTGGGGCACGTAGTGCTCTCGAGGAAAAGCTCTAGAGCCAGACTGCATTTACCAGCTTTTGGACAAGTTACTTCACATCCCTTTCCCTCAGTTTCCTTGTTTGTAACACAGGGAGGAGGAGGCTATTAATCGTCCCCGCCTAACAGGGTTGTTGTGAAACTGAAGTGACTTTAATGTGAGGAGAGGTGAGTGCATCAGAAAGCCACCAGTTAGCTTTGTTTGCCTGTTTATTTGAGCATCTTTCCTCTTCTAGGATGGAGAGGTGGAAGGCCATCCTGTGTGGGCATTAATTTATTACTGCATGCGCTGTGGGGACCTGTTTGCTGCTTCACAGGTGGTTAACCGAGCCCAGCACCAGCTGGGAGAGTTTAAAACCTGGTTCCAGGAGTACATGAACAGCAAGGACAGAAGGTATGGTGAATTAGATGGTACATCCAGAAGAAGCCCCTTGGAATGAGCAGGGTGGCCTCCACTGGCATTGCCCTTTACCCTGTGCATGGCTCAAAATAAGTTCCTGCTTGGGAAAAAAAATGAAGTTTAGAAAGCAAGTAGAACTGTCTTGGGAAGAGCAGTTGGGAACATTAAAAGAGCCCCGCTCTGATACTGCTCTCTAGACTTACATGTGTTTGTGTTTGGGGATTTTTCTGTACTGGTGGGAGGGACTGTGGTTGGGAGCATGTTTTGACTTACTCTGTAAACCCCAGGCATATCAAGGATGCTTTATAAAATGAAACTCTGTTGTATTCCACTTCATTTAACATTTGGTGCTTTTCCATTTGGCCCACTATGAAAATGTTGTCACACACTTTGTAGCTCAAAGGCTAGAATGAAAAGTTAGTAATTTTGAAATGTAATCATTGAAACTAAGTGAGGGGGTTTTTTTGTTTGCTTTTAGTTCTCTTCCATTAAGGAACTGCATGGATTAATTTTTCTCTGTATTTTGTTAATGCAATTGGACTTAAGTTCTTATTCACTGAAACCCAGTTTAAATATACGTACATGTATCTGAAAGAAAAGATGGTCACTCCATTTTCTCCTATGGAGTGCTAGAGATACTTTTCAAGGCATTTTTTTAGGTAGTGTGAATAATGTCATGTCCAGAGATCATCTTAAACCATAAGCCCCTGTCTTGCTCATAGTAGAGTAGGGTTCATGGCTTAGGGTTCCCCTAGAAGGAGACCCCGAGGCAAGGATTGGAGTGCAAGTAGCTTACATGTACAAGGCAGTGAGGGAGCCAGCGGGGAGCTAAGACAGGTAAGGGAAGGCTCACTCTGGTCCGTCACGGCTTGAGGACTGCTGGGGAGTGGGCTGGAGCGTTAATTCCCCAGCATTTCTGACCTGCCCCTGAAGGTCTTGACTGGAGGAAGCCGGCGGGCAGAGAGACGCAGGTGGCTGGTAGCTGCACGTCAGGTTAAAATGGTGGTACCCAGGGGATACGGTTGGGGACAGTGTCTGTGAAGGAAGCCTTCCTAACTCTGTTACGTGGTTGGGACCTGGGGTGCTTTCAAATGCCCTTGAGGGTCTTCAGTGTGTGTGTGTGTATCTGTGTGTTCCCTTGTGTCTTTAGGTTGTCTCCAGCCACGGAAAACAAGCTCCGACTGCATTACCGCAGGGCCCTCAGGAACAACACGGACCCCTACAAGCGGGCCGTGTACTGCATCATTGGCAGATGTGACATCACCGACAACCAGAGCGAAGTAGCTGACAAGACCGAGGACTACCTGTGGCTTAAGGCAGGCGCTGCTTCCTGTGCCCAAACAGGGCATTCACCCCTTCCCTCTGCTCGTGTGCTGCATGCAGCTTGTACCTGCTTAATGTGTGACGCCAGTAGGCGGCTAGGACTGGTACATGCCCTGTCTCCTGAGCCCGTTTTCTGTCGTGTGATTCCCCAGCAGTCACCACAGCCGTGAGCACGGCTCGAGCTGCCGAGCAGCCACGGCTCTGCGTGCCTGGCTCGTGAAGTAGTTCGTACCAATGCGTGTGTTTCTCTTGGGGGTTTAGTTGAACCAAGTGTGTTTCGACGACGACGGCACCAGCTCCCCACAAGACAGGCTCACTCTTTCACAGTTCCAGAAGCAGTTGTTGGAAGACTATGGTAAGATATCCTAAACAGAGCCACCTTCTCTGTCTTGTCCCCCTAAGGTCACAGCTTAGCTTTCCTGTGGGAGAATCCTTCATCTCTGAACTCTGGGTCTTCGAAGCCTAACTCAACAAAACAGTGATTTTAAATTCAAGTAGAGGCCATGTGAGCTTCAGCAGCGTACGTGATTAACGTGGTCCTGTATTACAGTAAGCTCTTCTCCCTAGTTCTTTGAACTGCTCTGGTAGAAGTTTGCTCAGGGAGAGACACAGCGAGGACTTGGCTATTACCTCCTTGTGGGTCTCGTAAGGACTGTACCTGAGCACAGATGGGGGTGTGTAAGAATTCTGGGAAGAAGAGATCCCAACGAGTGGTCAGCATTTGTTGAATTCACACACCTGGGAGTCTGAGTGAACTGAAGCCTCTTTGAAATCTTCCTTCCTCTCCTTGTTGAGTGTTACCAGGGTGAAGGAGATGATCAGCCTCTTTTCCGTAGCATTTTAAGGTCCTGAACTCTGTTCCTCTCCCCCCTAGTGCAGGCGGTCTGGGTTTACAGCACGACCCTACTTGCCAGTTGTGTTGTGAGGGCTGGAGAAGGTTGTGGAGCCAGGTCGTGGTTCCCACGGCCGTCCACTGTGTCTGCCAGGGCCCCTTCGTCCCGTCAGCAAGGGCTTCGGCCTGGGGCCAGGGCTGCTGATCATCCGACTCCTGAGTCAGCTTTGCCTCCTGTCCCCCAGGCGAGTCCCACTTCACGGTGAACCAGCAGCCCTTCCTCTACTTCCAAGTCCTCTTCCTGACGGCGCAGTTTGAAGCCGCCATTGCTTTCCTCTTCCGCATGGAGCGGCTGCGCTGCCACGCGGTCCACGTGGCGCTGGTGCTCTTTGAGCTGAAGCTGCTTTTAAAATCCTCAGGACAGAGTGCTCAGCTCCGTGAGTATTTGTCGGCATGGTGTCACCATAACACCCCCCGCAGCGGGCAGCGGCGGACACATAGCTGCAGCCGGCAGGGATTTGAGCCAACGGTCCGAGTCCTTCTAAAGCGTTGTAGACAGGGCGCCTGGGTGGCTCAGTTGGTTAAGCGACTGCCTTCGGCTCAGTTCATGATCCTGGAGTCCCGGGATCGAGTCCCGCATCGGGCTCCCTGCTCGGCAGGGAGTCTGCTTCTCCCTCAGACCCTCCCCCCTCTCATGTGCTCTCTTTCTCATTCTCTCTCTCAAATAAATAAATAAATCTTAAAAAAAAAAAAAATGTTAAAGCGTTGTAGACAGCACTGTACAGAGGCCCAGCCCCGTGGCCAGTCAGACTGCCTGGAGAATGGAGCGGAAGAGGCAGTCCCTAGAGCCGGGAGTCGTGTTCCCATTACGGCCCTAACTGGAAACCCCAGCAGCCACTTTCTGTGCATGCCCACCTGAGGTGGGAGAGTCAGAAGAGAGGCAGGAGATAAATGTGGACGAATGTCTGCAGATTCTTTAGCAGTGCAGCAGAACCGCCCCCGTGCACATGCCATAACCAGAGACCGGCGTCCTAGTAATTTACTACAAAACGCCGTTTCCTCCACTCTGCGTGGAAAGAAATGGAGGACAGGGTACTGAAGCTTAATGCAAATGTTAGCCAGGCTGCAAGAGTAGATGCTGCTGAGTCTTTGGATTCAGCTCCTGTAGACCCTGGTTGCCTGGGTCAGAGGGGCAGTGTGAGTGTGACCATTTCTTTCCCCCACGGTGCAGTCAGCCACGAGCCCGGCGACCCTCCCTGCATACGGCGGCTGAACTTAGTGCGACTACTCATGCTCTACACCCGCAAGTTTGAGTCTACAGACCCGAGGGAGGCGCTCCAGTACTTTTACTTCCTCAGGTAAAACTTTCTTTTGACCATTTACTTGAGCTGGTTTTGGTTTCTGCCATCCTGAGGACCATTAGGGGCCTCAAGGCCATGCCAGAAATCATATTGCTCTTGTCCCCTTCCAGGGACGAGAAAGATAGTCAAGGAGAAAACATGTTTTTGCGCTGCGTGAGTGAGCTTGTGATAGAAAGTCGAGAGGTGAGTCGGTCCCTCTTCTCTCCTCCCCCACCCTTGATTTGCACTGCTCACACCCGTGCTAACATGATACTGCGTGGTACCCCAACATTGCTGTGGTGGATATGGCCCCGGGGGGTTTCCGTTCTCTTGAGGTTTTTTTGTTTCTGAGAGTGAAAATACTGATTCAGTCTCACTGTGTCCTGGTTTATGTAATACTCTTTCCTGCCTCCCCTATTTTCTTCCCCTCTTTCATCTCTGCAGAATTGTGGCTTATATCCAGTAAATTGAGTAAACTTTTTTTGTCTCCACAGTTCGATATGATTCTTGGGAAACTAGAGAATGATGGAAGTAGAAAGGTGGGTTAAATGCACCTCTCGTGATGTGTTAGTTTGCAGTTGGGGTTGTATAATTGTCAAAAGAATGTAGTTAGACTTCAGGATTCAAGGTGACAAAGATGCAGATTTGAATGAAATTACATAGTTTAAAAAACAAAGAATGAAAATCCCAGGCCACAAATAATGCCCTTGATTTTAACACACATTTATATTTCTCTTTTTTTTTTTTTTAAAGATTTTATTTATTTATTTGAGAGAGAGAATGAGATAGAGAGAGAGCACGAGAAGCGGGGGGAGGGTCAGAGGGAGAAGCAGACTCCCCGCCGAGCGGGGAGCCCGACGCGGGACTCGATCCCGGGACTCCAGGATCATGACCTGAGCCGAAGGCAGTCGCTTAACCAACTGAGCCACCCAGGCGCCCAACACACATTTATATTTCTCTTTAAAATATGTCAATCTATGATGAGATAGCTTTTTTATCTTTAGTAATCTCTACACCCAATGTAGGGCTCGAACTCATGACCCCGAGATCAAGAATCACACACTCTTCTGACTGAGCCATCCAGGTGCCCCGATTAGATAGCTTTTTTATTATGTCCAGAGGCCTCTTCATGACTGCCATTTTTTGAGCTGAGAAGGCCACATTTCTGCTATTCTTGGCTCAGAAAATAGGCAAGGAGGGGCGCCTGGGTGGCTCAGTTGGTTAAGCGACTGCCTTCGGCTCAGGTCATGATCCTGGAGTCCCTGGATCGAGTCCCGCATCGGGCTCCCCACTCGGCGGGGAGCCTGCTTCTCCCTCTGACCCTCCCCCCTCTCGTGCTCTCTCTCCCATTCTCTCTCTCAAATGAATAAATAAAATCTTTAAAAAAAAAAAAAAAGAAAAAGAAAATAGGCAAGGAAAGAAACTGTTTAGTCCACCTACTCTCCCCAGATAAAAAAGTTAGCAATATGCTTGACCTCTCTCAGCAGGTAGTTTGTGAGGGCTCAGAACTTCGCACTGCCCCCAGAGATGCAGCTGTGCCGTGAGCCTTAGTGATTCCCCGAGCCCCGACACCGCATGGGGAGGCCTAGCAGAGGGGCGGAGGCCTGGGTGTCTGAAACCAGTCCTGACCCCCCTCGGGCACTCTCCCTGTGGCCTTGGGGGTCCCCTGCCTCTCTCAGGGACTCACTTTCCTCACTGGTATAAACGGGTGGCTTGGACCCAGCAATCTCAAGATGAGCTCACAGGGATCACACTCTCCGGCTCAGAAGAAAGGCCAGTGACCGTGCTAGTGATGATGGCCATGCTTCTTGAGCAGTGACATTTGCCAGGCACTGGGCTGAATGCTGTACAGGTATTTTCTAATTTAACCACCACAATAATCCAACAAGGTGCTTTTCAAGTGAGGAAATGGAGGCAAGAGAGGTTCTTTTCCTTAGGATCACACAGCTGGTAAGAGGGGGAACTGGAATTTGACCCTGGAGCCCCATGGTCTTCACTCTTGTCCTTTGCTGCCTCTGGGGTGGCAGGAGCAGGCTGCCCTAGCTCTTCTGTGCTTCCTAAGGCCTCTTACACGCTCTTGACCATTGGTTGCTGGTGATTGTGGATGGTGATTTAAAAAATATATCCTACACCCCTTGCCGTATATTTTTTCAGCACTGAGTTTCTTTTGCCATCTGTCTTAGAAAGCAAATCCAAAATCTTTCCGATATTTTCTCTGAGCCTCCTGAGTTTTCCACCTAGTGCCTATTCATCAGCAAATGTAAGATCATTGGCTATTTCACCTACCCTCTGGATCATTTTGGACAATTAGCAAGCACAGATGTCTTATTGCTGGCTCCTCTGTGCCGCCCGTGAGTCTCCTTCCTCATGTGTCGTTTCCTTGGCCCCTTTCATATGTTTAATAGGACCTTACATCTTCAAGAAAGCCAGAGTATAGCTGATGACATATATGCATTGCCCAGGGCGAACATTTTCAGTGAAAGTAGTTTTCAGATTCCAACTGCTTCTCTGTGTTTAAAATAACAGCTCTGTGCACCCGTCTCTCTCCTCCTCCCCTTCCGTAATTTGTCTTGTCAGCCTGGAGTCATAGATAAGTTTACTAGTGACACAAAGCCTATTATCAACAAAGTTGCTTCCGTGGCAGAAAATAAAGGCCTGTTTGAAGAAGCAGCAAAGCTCTATGACCTTGCCAAGGTAAGATGTGCCCTTTTCCTTCTCCTTACTTAACAGATCTGCCGGCCTTTTGGCATTAAATGCACAACCGTTTTGATGACGCCACTGCTGTTCCACTCTCCTGCTAAGGCTCCTAGCGCTTAGGCAGCTAATGATCCGGTCAGGGTGAAATTCCCATTTTACAGAATTATTTCTGCCCATAAGGTATTTCTGGCCAAACAGGAGTAACATATTGCAAGGATATCCTGCAGGCACTGAGCTCTCGTCTCACTTGGCAGCAGAATAAACGTCCATCACGTTTCGATGGTGAAACTTTGGGTGAAAATGCCTTCCTGCTTACCCTTCTGGTAGCCACAGACATGCTGGTGAGCCCTGTATGTTAGGGAAGGGAATGACAGCTGAGGCATTTTGAGAGAACTAGAATAAGTATTTCCACATAAGAACATATGGTGACTGCTGATCATTGTGTGGCCTAAAAAAGAATATGTTCTTTTTTTTTTTTATAAACTGAGAAAAGTAGGCCAAAAGGAGGTTTATAATTCATTTTCTTAAATTTAAAGATGTTTTGATTGGCTTCTTATTTCTAATTAAGATGTAGAAAAATGTACAAACATGAAGTGTACAGCTTGGCAAATTTTCCGAGGGTCTATATCTGTGACCGTCATCCAGATCAAGATACAGAACCATTTTTATCCGTCATCTCAGAAAATTCCCTCTTTGGGTTATTTTGTTTTTCCTTTTCTCTTTTCCTGATCATTTCATCGATTCCTTCCTCAATTTTAAAAACAATTGAACAGAATGCTGACAAGGTGCTGGAGCTAATGAACAAGCTACTCAGCCCTGTCGTCCCCCAGATCAGCGCACCACAGTCCAACAAGGAGAGGCTGAAGAACATGGCGCTCTCCATCGCGGAACGGTAAGGCTGAGAGCTGGCTCCGAGGCTCTGCGGGGGCCCAGCGCCGGCACCAGGCCGCAAGTGCCCGCCAAGTGCATCTTCCGCTTCACTAGTCACATCAAGTAGTCTCCCCGAGACTCCCCATCCCTCCAGCACTGTTGAGAGTTCCTGTGTCCCCACGTACCAATACTTGGTACTGTCAGACTTTCAGAGTTGCGCTAGAAGGCAGGGTATGAAACTGTATCTCAACATTCTAATCCTGCACGTTGGGTTTAATTCTAGGCATTGTATTCCTCTATATACTGTTTAATTCTAGGCATTGTATTCCTCTGTATACTGTTAGCAGCCGTCTCCAGGACATTTTGGAACAAAGCTAGTGATGGCTAGATGGGGGAATTCTTAGAGGGGTAGTGGCCAGTGTTTAAGAATCTACCTTCCTTCCTCGGTGAGATAACTGAGTTATCAGACTTTAACTGATGGAACTCCCAGGCTGAGGCAACAGTCATTACTTTTTGTGCCCTCTACAGATACTCCTAGTAAAGTGACCCAGAGAAAACTGGGTTGGAGATGCTTTCCTGGGGTAGCACAGAAGAACACTCCTTAGCAGACAGTCCATTTAGCAGACAGTCCCCAGTGGTGGCTGCCGGGCTTTTGGTCCATCAGAACCTTTCACCCTTCCTGGAGATTTGGATGCTTGAGATGGTGGCTGAGGCTAGAGAAGCGTTGCTTCATGCAAAATGTTTACAGATGGATTCATAGCAAATCCACCATTAACTTCTTGGCCATTTGAAAAGAAACACTACTTTTCACTCCTTAATTCACCTCCCCTGGAGATTTCAAGAGATTCTGACATTTTTCAGATGCTATTCTAAAGTTACAGGTTGCACAGAAATTCCATAATTACCCCGTCCCCCCTTCCCTCTTTTTTGTCTTTCAGGTATAGGGCTCAGGGAATCAGTGCAAATAAATTTGTGGACTCCACATTCTATCTTCTGTTGGACTTGATCACCTTTTTTGATGAGTATCACAGTGGTCATATCGACAGAGCCTTTGATGTAAGTTTCAAGAGGGGTGTTTGAAGTGCGGGTTAATGTATATGCCCTTGGAAATTCAAAACACTTAAAACAAAGCAAATGTTACCGCATTCTTTGCCTGTTAAGCAAAGAAGACAAGCATGATCCTAGGAGTTGAAAGGGGATTTCTGTGTTGCTCTTTTTTCTTCTTTTTCTCCCCTATTCCTTTCCCCATTAGTCTGAAAACTGGAGGTTGCTCAAAGTAACTTGAAATCTCGGAATTTTATAATTGCCTCAGAAAATGAGGTTAGGAATTAAGTTAGCAAATTAGAGTCAAAGCCTCTGTGTATATGAGGGAGCAGCATTTTCTATTAAGAAGCCCTTTATAACGTGTTAGATGCTGTCTGTCTAAGGAGATGAAATGACTATGATGGTTGTATCATACGGGGCTGTTGGGGTTTTGTTTTAAACAGATAATTGATCGTTTGAAGCTGGTGCCCCTGAATCAGGAAAGTGTGGAAGAGAGAGTGGCTGCCTTCAGAAATTTCAGTGATGAAGTGAGTCCTTTTCTTTCTGCGTTATGAAATTTTTTTCCCCCACTTCTGCTGAAAGCTTTTGTTTTAATGTAGCTGATAACGGTAAGAGTCCTTGTACAGTAACCACCCAGACTGAGTTTTCTAAGGTGAGTCCAATTTCAGATATCTGGGTTGGTTTTTCTGTGAGTACACCTATCCCCATCAGATTATTGTCCAAATTCCTGACTCAAAAAACAGTCGCTTTAGTGATTACATTTTCTTGGGGGAACAGATTTCTGGTTGATCTGTGAGGTCTGATTTAATTCTGTGTTATCTACTTGTTCTAGAGGGTATCTTAGTGCTTCATTCTGATCTTCTTTAAGTAGTTCCCTTGAGTGTCTGAAACAGGTACCATGATGTACTTCCTTCCTTCCCTTCTCCGAACTGTTTTGTCTTGAGAAGGAGAGCAGTGACCATGGACTCAGTTATCATGAGCCCATGACCCTCCGAGCCACTGTCTCTCTGAAGGGTTTCTAGCATGTTGCCACCATCTAGCCCAAGGGTACTCAGTTGGGCTGTACACTGGATTACCAGGAGAGCTTTAAAAAATCTTCATACCCAGGTCCTACCCCCAGAAATTGTGGTTTCTCTGATCTAGACTGGCCTCTACATGCAGTTCGGGTAAAACTCTTCTTTAGAACCACGGACACCCCAGGGCCAGCTGTCTGGCTCTGGGGTGTCACAAACAGTGTTTCCATTTAAAGCTGTTACTCCTTAAGCAAATACCTTTTATGAAAACATGTTTCTGTTTTAGAGGAAGAAGGGAGGCCAGCTTCTGTACACGTTGCCTGCTGTGGTACTCCCAGTTTAGAAGGTCTTACCCCTTGCCCACCTGCCCTTCATACCTGGTATCAGTTCCATCCCAGCCCCTTGCCCTTTTGTTGTTTCTTGCCTTCTCCGGGATGGATTGTTCACTGCGTTAGGGACTGAAGTGGTGCACCTGCCCTGCCCTTGTAGGCACTCCCGAGGACTCTGCCAGGGCTGTGCATGCACAATGGAGACAGTCGGGCAGGTCTAAGCGGGCAGTGGTGGGGACTGGAGAACTAGTGTGTGCCTCCCTACCTGCTGACATTGAAATCCACATGCCTTTGCTCATCACTCTGCTGGCCAGTCCAAGCGTACATAGTGGCCAGATATGGTCAACATGCGTTTGGCTCACTGCCCCCACTTAGGAGGGGTGGCATAAAGAAAGGAACAGAAGAGTGACCCACCTCACCGGAGCAGCATTGCCTGGGTTTTGCTCCTCACGCTTGACATTTTGGTGCCATTGGCTACTTTTTGGTGACCCTGTAGTTCTCTACCTGGCAGCTGTGGGAAGTGGTGTGCCCAGGCCTGCCTGGAGCGTGCCCCACCCCACCCCCAACACACACACACACACACACACACACACACACACGCGCTTGTTGTCAGCCCCAGGACTTGGTTCTTTTTCCTTACTTCATGTGTTTTTCTCTGCGCAGATCAGGCACAACCTCTCAGAAGTGCTTCTCGCCACCATGAACATCTTATTCACACAATTTAAGAGGCTTAAGGGGACAAGTCCATCCTCAGCATCCAGGCCCCAGCGAGTCATCGAGGACCGTGACTCTGTAAGATCCCAGCATTGGCCAGAACCATCGCTGAGAACCACCTTTCTGGTCTGCCTTCTGTGCCACCTCATGAGACCCCTGCTCCTGACCCCAAATGCTCTTTTTCCTTACGCTTAGCAGCTGGGTAAACCCTGTGTCAGGAGTCTCTCAGAAGAAATTGAACATTAATGGTATTGCCGCTCTTCTCAGGCTTAAAAAAAAAAAGTGAAGTCTGTCAATATAATTTTTTTTTTTTTTAAGAGAGCATACTCAAGCCATGGCTTGGGGGAGGAAAGAAGGGGGTAGAGGGAGAGAGAGAATCTTAAACAGGCTAAACGCTCAGTGTGGAGCCCGACGTGGGGCTCAAGCTCACGACCCTGAGATCCTGACCTGAGCCGAAATCAACCAACTGAGCCACCCAAGCGCCCCATGCAAATACCACCTTTTAAAAGAATCAAACAGAATACCAATTTGTAGTGATTCCGTAGGAATGTCCTATGCATTTTATTTATTTATTTTTTTAAAGATTTTATTTATTTATTTGACAGAGAGACAGCTAGAGAGGGAACACAGGCAGGTAGAGTGGGAGAGGGAGAAGCAGGCTCCCCACCAAGCAGGGAGCCTGATGCGGTACGCCCAAAGACTGAGCCACCCAGGCGCCCCTGTCCTACGCATTTTAAAATGAAAAGGTTATTTATGAGTCTGAGCACTTTCAGCAGAACCATAAGTACTTTTGGTCAACACGTGAATTCGATGCAAACCCTTGTTTCTATTCTCATCTGAGCCTCACAGTGACCCCAGAGAGGTCCCTATGGCAGTCATTGTTAATCCCCATTTTACAGCTGAGGGAACTGAGGCCCAGAGTCAGGAAGCAGTGTGCTTTTGTGGGCCCCTCAGGGGGAGGTGAAGGAGCCGTGTTTGAAAGTGTCCCTTTCCGTTGCTTGTGGGGCCTCCCTCCAGCATTGTGTGGGTCAAGCCAAGTCTGGGTAGAGGCTTGAGACTCACAGGGCATATATTAACAAAAGGGCAAAGGTGTTTGACCCAATTAAGAGTACCTTCCCCTTGACTTCCCCATGTAGTCTTCTGCCTCCAAGGGTGTCTGGGCTCTCAGCTGTGACCCCACAGGCACTTCCTGACAGAACTGCTGTGTAATGAATGAATGATGGTGGAACTTTTCATCTGCAGCAGCGTAGAGAGCGATGCTTGGACTGGTCCCCTGGTGGTAGGCCCATCCGTGTGTGCCCCCGAGGCAGCCTCTGGTCTCCCATCCACCCTGGGACAGGCAAGAGCCTGAAGCACATAAAAAGTGAATGTCAGGAGATGTGCCAGCGGTGGGCTCACCATGTCTGGGCCTTGGCAGGCAAGTGGTGAAGTGGTGGATGTTTCTGGTGCTCTGTGTGCTGCTCACAGGCCAGAGGAGGGCTTTCCCGCAGAGTAGAGCCGTGGCCTGGCAGGCCCTTGTCCCACATTTGAAGGGAACTGTTGCAAGACTAGCTGAACTCACATTCTGTGTGTCTTAAGCTCTCTTTTTTAGGCACTTAGTTTTTAAATATCACGAATAAAGCCATTCTGTCTTCCTCTCACCCACTACTCCTTTTTTTATGAAAAATAGGGATGGGTAGGGTCAAGGAGAGACTTCTGTGTAAAAGCTGCCTGCCCAAGGAGTGGCTTCATGGTTTAAAGTGCAGTGCTGCCCACTAAGGGGATGAGCCCCTTTGCCTGAACACCCCTAAAGTGTATGTAAATAGCTTTAAATCAGGCATGAAAGCCCATGTACTTTTATATACTTTTAAAGAAAATCTAATGGCTGCTCTCATAAAGTAAACATTTCTTTTGGTTTGGACATTAATTAGGACATATACTTGCCAGTTTATTTCACATATCAGGTAAAAATCCCTTGGCTTTCAGTTTTCTTGAATGGTCCTTAGGAAGCCTAGTAAGTGACCCTTGGGTTTTCCTTAAAAGTCTTGTTACTGGTCTAAAAGATGTTCGTAGACTTTCCCTTTCTATTCCAGATACAGTTTCCTTTCTTGCTGCTATAAGCACCCAACACGTCTCAACACGAGGCAACCTGAAGCTATTCTTCTAAGTTTCTTTATTCCAGATTTAGTAATTTATCACATGGAAATCGGAGTGAAAGTTGTTCCTTTTTTTTTTTTTTTCCTGTTACTGGAATCGCCTGAATTAAAATCTTGTTCCCGGGGCGCCTGTGTGGCTCAGATGGTTAAGCGTCTGCCTTCGACTTAGGTCATGATCCCAGGGTCCTGGGATCGAGCCCCGCATTGGGCTCCCTGCTCTGCAGGAAGCCTGCTTCTCCCTCCTCCACTCCCCCTGCTTGTGTTCCCTCTCTCACTGTGTCTCTCTCTGTCATATAAAAAAAAAAAAAAAATCTTGTTTCCTCCTGGAACAATCTAAGAATCTCATAAATATTATTGCCTAGGAAAAGAGGGCCCAGCACTTAGGAGGGAAGAAATGGGAGAAGTGAAAGGAAGGAAAAGGGAAGAAGCAGGAGAGGAAGAGAGCTGGAATGGGACTGGACACTTTTGTGGGGGCCTGAAGACTTCAGATCCCCACACAGGCAGGTCGGCAGAAACCAGCCAGGAGAGAGCAAGAGACGTGGAGAAGTAGAGCAGGGCATCTGAAGCATGGGGCTGCGTCTGAAGCTGGTCGCATGTGGCAGGCGAGGCAGCTTGCCTGGCAAACCACATCTGTCTTTTGCTTAGTAGAAGGAACTTTGCTTTGGAACTGGGGCTCCAGTGGACGAGCTTTGCTAACTCTGCACCATGCGGGTGGCATGACAGTTGAGGGTCAGACTGTCATCCACCCATCAGATATCTGGCCCTGACACCAAGGGGTAGAAAGTGGAAGACCATGGTGATTGCTCCCCGGGTAGTGCCCTGACTTGGAAGTTCATCAGTTTTCTTCTCTTCTTTCCCTTTCTCTCAGCAACTCCGAAGCCAAGCCCGAGCCCTGATCACCTTTGCGGGGATGATACCCTACCGGACGTCTGGGGACACCAATGCAAGGCTGGTGCAGATGGAGGTCCTCATGAATTAAGTGCAGTGCTTTGAGGGGCTTCTGGGACTGCAGGCTGTCAGTATCTCGGGCGCATGAGCCCACTGGGGTGGGGTTTCTGGTTTTGTTTCTGTTGTTTTGTTTTGTTTTTTGTATTATGTATTTTTGTCAGCACCAATAAATTTCTTTGTATTTGTTTTCACATTCTTTTATTTTCATTGTTTTGTTTTGTTTTTTTGCTTTGAAATTTTTTTAAAATTTTTATTTGTGTGGGAGGAAATGTCTTCACTAGTGCTTGGGCCAGAGAATGATAGGCTTATATAGGCATCTATGATTTGGTTAAAGTTGACCTTAAATGATTAAAAATTCACCCAAAATGAGCAAGGAAATGGAGCCTTTGGGAGTTGCTTTTATTTAGATACAGTATTCCATATGGCAGGGTCACGGTTCATTTTTTACATTTTCATTTGTGAAAGCCACCCTCAGCCTTGGGCGAGTTAGGGTCTGTGTGTGAACTAGCAAATGCTCCATGCCCCCCTCTTCTCCCGGGTGTGCCTTGGGGTCCAGGTGGTCTAAGACCATCCTCTGCTCTGATTCCAGGATTAATTAGTTTGCCGTTCTGTTGAAATCCCACTGGAGATGAAAACAGACCTAGAAAAACATAGCTTTTTTAAAAAGGAACATCATAGGTATCTCAGCTGGAATGTGAGGAAGGGCAAACCTCAGTGCTTCTCCCTCTGTAGCTGTCCCACTGAGGCGCCTGCATGGCCCTGTGCACTCCCCTCTTCCAGAAGACTTCTAATAGAGCTCGTTTTTCCCTTCTCTGGTGGTTGGTTCCTCTACTTGGACAACCCACCCTTCCCGATTGCTCACTCATGAGGCGCACTGGCCAGGCAAGCTCATGGTTCACATTCCGAGTGCTGATGTACAGAATCCAGACCCCATTGGGCATCGGCACTGAGGGTGCCTGGTCCCTGAGCAGAGGTGTTCCCCCATCACTGGCTCTGTTTCTCCCACCACCAGTCCTGAAGCCCTGTACTGAACTAGAGAGAAGATAAGGATGATTGTTTGTTCCTGAATGGGCCAAGCAAGCTGCAGGAAATCAGGCAGCAGCCAGCCATGCTGGTTTTACCGACTGTTCCTGAGGCCGGCTCTCCCAGGAGGATGTTAAGGTCCCAGAGTCTCCAAAGGTGCTTTTCTTCCTGGAGAGAAGTTTCTCTCTCATCACAGGGCATGGATACCCTTGCTGTCCTGTAGTTGTTAAAATAATTGTTAACTTTCCTTTTGGGAAAGCATTAATCTTTCCCAAAATAATAATGGGACCATCTGCTGTTCCATCAGTTGAAATCCCTGATCCATCAAGGACGTGGCCTGAGGGTCGGCAGGGGCTGCCTCTGCCTTCCTCCTGTCCCACCTGTTCCCCCTGGAACTCGCCTGCAGTTGCGCTTCACTAAGAAAGTCTCAGAAGATGGGCCCTGCAGGGGACTTGATTTAGCAAGTTGTACTCTGTTTATATGTGCTGATTTATCTTTTAAACAAGTCCCCACAATTTGCTTCAACAGTGCTTTACAAAAAGAGTACTCGGTGGACTTTGCACAAAGTGCGACTTCATGTTCTGCTTTTAAATATTAGGTCTTCCTCACAGATGGACCTGTAACAGTGCCACCAACGTGAGGAGGCTCGAGTTCAAATACGTATTTGCTCCCCGGCTCCCACTTGTTCTTCAGGCCCACCGTGAGAATTCATTGGGAATTTGCCTTTCCTTGCATCATGCCGTTCTGCTAGCTCCAAATAGAACTGCCTGTGAGCCCTGCATAGGGGTTTAGGCCCTCCACCCTTCCACCCTTCCACCTTCTACCTGTGGAGGAGACAAAAAAATCAGGAGAAAAGAAACCAGACCTTGAACTGCCCTGATGGAGCTGTGTGGAGTCGAGAGGAACGCTGTCCCTGGTTGGCACCGAGGACTTACCCAGAGAGAGCCATCGGTAGGAGCAATAAGATAACTGGGTTCATACCAGAAGGGCCAGACTCCCAGAACAAATCCCAGGGCTGGTTCTGTGGTGACGCATGGCCTGTTTGGTGTAGAGACGCAGGAGACCAAGAGTGTTTGCAAGGCCACAACATAACAGGTTCCCGTGTATCCATGGTTACTGCTTGTGCCCAGAAATCATGGTCCTGTGACAGGTCATTAGGTAAAAGTCATCTTCCGCTCACCCATTCAGGGAGCTAAATCCTTTCCCTTGACGGTGGTCCATGATCTTACGACTGCTTATGCAGAGACAGAGAGAGTGGCACTGGGAGTCTCATCTTCCAGGGATGAGATTCCAATCTTTCTAACAAAATCAAGGGCCTCAAAACCACCCTGAACGCTATCTCATTTGATCTCGGAAGCTAAGCACGGTCAGGCCTGGTTAGTACTTGGATGGGAGACCGCCTGGGAATACCGGGTGCTGTAGGCTTTTTTCTTTGCCTTTTCTTTCCCCTTTGGCCTCCTTTCCTCTCCCTTTGCTGCCAGAGCCCGCCCCCACCCCCCTTGCCCAAAAAGGCTTGGAGACTAACAGGGTTAGTGCCTACCTCAGAGTGGCTCATAATCAACCCACTGAGACACTCAAAGGGAAGTACTGATTCCATCAGTGTCCTTTTCAGAGGCCTTGCTTGAGACTGGGTTTCAAGGATTCTGTTCCTTTTATTTATTTATTTTTAAGTAAAACAGCTCTGGCCGCCTGACTTCAAAGGGAAAACGAGAGGAACTGGTGAGCTCTCTCAGGCGGGGTCCTTTGGTTTTATCACTTCTGAGCTGGACAGGCTCATCCAAGAGCAGGAAGTGCCCGTCCACACTGGGGCCTGAAAGTAGGCCCTGCCCCTGCCCCTCTGGAACTGACCAGTCTCATTAGAGACTTCATGGCAGTATAGCAATTGTTGTTACTCTTTTGATGCAACATTTAAATAGGGTTTTGGTTACTTTACCTACAGTACTGTAGACTTTTCCCCCACAGTATCCAGTATTTGCTGATTTACCCCCACCCCTCCCAAACTGAGGACTATTCACTCTGGATTCCCCCCCGCCCCCCTCCTTGCTCTATTTGAGTAAACTCTTCTGGCCAAACCTTAATACTAAATCTAGCAATTATGTGCAGATGTGCCAACATTCTACTACCATAGATTGGATCTCCACAGTCCTTGTTTCTCCATTAGGCATCAGAACTTTTGTCTAGCTCATTAGGTAGTTTGCATCACTGCCAAATGTCCTCGTGCCGCTCGGGAAGTGACTCCAGCATGCCAGATGCCTGAATCAAACCCCAGGCTGGTGAGTTGCCCCAGGCCTGCCAAAGTGCTGGCAGGCCCCACACTGACTGGACTCTCATTCAGCTTTAGTCCGCCACAGAGATTGGGCCCTGTGTCCAGCAAACTGGGAGAAAGTGTGCATGTTACAGTATTATTCAAAGTGCTCACTGTATATCCATAAAATAAGGCTCTTGTACCTGCAATTTGGAAATGTCAGGAAGAAGACAGCAACTCATTAAATAGGAATTGTGTAGCCCTCAAGAAAAATGAGGCTTTTGGGGGGTCCTGAATGTCCCCCTTTTCTTCATTCTAGGCTGAATTCAGAAGTTACCTGTGTCCAGCCCATCTTCTGACCTTTTTATAGTAAACTAGTATCCCTCACAGGGCAGGGAGAGAAGGGAAAGACATCTGTCTTCCTGCCACTTGTTTCTAACTGGAAAGGTTGGTGGAAAGAAACTTAAAACCACTAACTAAAATGTTCTGAAAACGAAACTCAAATGATCTGCACCTCTCCTCCCCTTGTTAGATGGCTGACGTGGCTGGCTAGAGTCCAGGGCCTGGCTGAACAAGGCCCAGGTGTCCGTGTGCCGGCCCAGGCTCAGCTCACCAGCTACAGAGCCCCTGCACGCACTGGGCCCTGCTTGGTTGCTGGGGATAGCCAGGGTAATCACGTTGCCCTCCCAAAATTGCTCACAAGTCTAACAAAGTGGGCTTCCCCCCCCCCCGCCCCATTCCTGTATTTGTCATGATCACCTAAGTGGAAATACTGGTGGCTTAAGTTGCTAACCCAGGAAGAGAGAAAAATTTTTTGTCCTAACCTTGATTTTTGAAATCACTTCTGTGTGCCTTCTGGGTATATAGCCCACAATGGATTGCTCAGCAAATGTTTGAACAAGCAGATTCTTTGCTTTTGCTTCCTGTGCCAGCCCCCTCCCCACATCCACGTGCCTGGATTCAGACTCCCCATTTCAGGTCAGGGGCTTTAATAGGCATTCAATCTGAAGGAAGATGGGGAGGAGTGTCTTTTGGGGTCAGATGACACAGCCGATGCTTCAAAGAAGGAAAGGTGCAGAGCTGCACAGTATGCAGGGAGATTTTGAGAGGAAGGGGGTAGAAATTTGATTTACTGTTAACAAGAAAGGCCAGATCTTAAGGAAAAAGGGGTAGGGAGGGCTGGCCAAAACCCAGCATTGCACTGGCGTACTCTCCTCCTTGTTGCCTTTACCCTTGGGGTTTTGAGAATCTGTTTTTGGGGGATGGGACAGTAAAAGAGTGCCTCAGGCAGTGGCTTCTATTTGAGCAGGGAGCAGGGAGCCACTGATCCCAGAGAGGACTTCTAGCAGAGAAACAGACATATCATGGCCCCTTCGGTGGTCCCAGCCTACCTGGCCTAGAGAGGCTCTCAGGTGGCATCCAAAGCTGCAGGGCCTACAGCTAAGGAAGGCCTCTTCATCTGGGCCAGATTTAGCAAGTAAAAATACAGGACATCCAGTTAAATTTAAATTTCCCAGGAACAATAAGTTCTTAGTTATAAGTATGTCCCAATTTTACTTGGCTGCCCTATCCAGGCTGGCCTCTGCTGGCTTTTGCTGCCTGGAGGCGTCCGGGTTTGGCCGAGGCTCCAGGAGCTCTCCAGCTAAATTGGATTACACTGATTTGTTGCACTGTTTGTGCTTCTGTGGGCAGCGGAAATGACAGTGAGATATGAAGTCACTTGAGAGAGAGCAGTAACTGGAATTCAGTTTCCAAGAGCCAGGCTGACTGGCTGCGTGGGATGATTGTGGGCCCCAGTTGACCCCAGCTGCTATCATCTACTGGGTATTTTTCCATCAGGAATTTCAAATGTGTATTTTATAAATAGAGAAAAAGGAGGCAAAATACAGCCTTTTCTCACTTGGTTTGTAACTTTTCT